TTCTATTTTGCTGTACAAATTTTCTGTCTGACTCTCTCTCATTTCTCCTCCCTCAAAATGGCCGCTTGGTTTGTTTTCTGCACTATTTCCTTTGACCAAATTTAGAGGTTGTGTCTGCTCTCGAAAACCGTCTTTATCATTTCGGAGAGGAGTGGAAGGAGAAATAGGTGTGTCGGATTCCTCTGCTTTCGTTTGCTTCTCATAAAGGTAAATAAAACCCCTTTCACACATGTCCTCTCTGCAGGATTTATCTGCAGAGAGGACATTCTCATCTACCACCTTTAAAATCCGTTGTCCTCGAATCAAATAGCTGTAGAAGTGAGCTGATTTATTGTCACCACAAATGACAGACGACAGACGGTATAACTCGGTTCCACTTTCTCCTGGAACCTCCATGAACAGTTTGGGAAATACTGGGTGTCTTCTTTTGACCCAGTGTGGCAGAAACAGGACTATAACATTATTATCGCTCAAGCAGTTTTTCCGAGTTAAGCCTGACTTGCAGTTGGAACAACAAGGCTGCCCAAACAAACTTACCCAGTCTCTAAAAAGCGAAGCAGTGTCGTTGAGTAATTTTGTGGATGGAAGCACAACAACGAGGCCATTCGTCAACAGCTCTAAGAAGGACGTCTCACATATACTACAAGTGTTTTCAAAGTACATTTCCTGATCAGTGTTCCCACCGTACGAGTCCAGCCAGACAAGCACCAATTCCACTAAACACAAAATCTCAAACTGTTTTCCATCTCCGATGACGGTTCTCTCTCCCTTAGCTCCATTAAAATGGGGTAGATGTCCGCTGGGGTAAAGTGTCGTCCTGGCTCGTGGACGGCGGTGTGAATCAGATTAGCACAGTTCGGGATACGCGAAGCCTCTTTAAATAGTTTCTTCTGCGCCAGACACCGTCTGGTGATGCTTAGGTTGAGAATGCTCTGAAATCCAGCACTCATCCAGCTGTTATTGAACTGGTTTGCAAATCTGCAGATGTCTGTCTCCGTCTGTCCCATTATCATTTGCTCCTCAATTATAGCCTTCCCGTCCGGGTCCGTTTGGTTCTGAGGGACAGTACAAAGGAGTTTCTCCCAAAAGTCTGAGGATGAAAAACTATCCCCTCCGGGAAAATGTTGAGTTTCTGGCCCACAGAGCAAACTGACCCAGCCGGGGCAGTTTGCTCTGAGGGAACCGCTGAATGTCTGTTCCCAATATCTCCCACAGTGCTCTGACCTTGAGTGACACTCTCATCCAAGTCATTTCCAGGGAGGAAATGATCAAAAAGTTTCTGCATACCCGTTGTGACCAGGTATCCAACTCCAAATCCAATAGGAAAAATTAAGGGGTACATTTCTGAAACTCTAAAAATCTTTGTCCGACAAAGCTGGGTATCACAAACTTGTTTGGATCCTAACTGACCATGAACTTAGTCACACGCATTTAAGGTCTCATAGGCTATCATGACCTCACAGACCTCTGTGATGACCTCATGAGGTCATCATAGATGTCATGAATGACACTGGAGTTCCTGTGCAAGGTCTTGCTTCTGATCGTTGCTATGGAAAAAAATCAGACCAATTCTGCATGACTCAAATTAAAAATGAAAATGAAATTTATATATATATATATATATATATATATATATATATATATATATATATATATATATATATATATATATATATATATATATATATATATATATAAAATTCCCTTCTCACCCACCACGGGTGGTTCTTATCCTCTGAGCTCGGGTCCTCTACCAGAGGCCTGGGAGCTTGAGGGTTCTGCGCAGTATCTTGGCTGTGCCAAGGACTGCACATTTCTGGACTGAGATGTCTGATGTTGTTCCTGGGATCTGTTGTAGCCACTGCTCCAGTTTGGGGGTTACTGCCCCGAGGGCCCCGATGACCACAGGCACCACTGTGGTCTTCACCTTCCAGGCCCTCTCCAGTTCTTCCCTGAGGCCCTGGTATTTCTCCAGTTTCTCGTGCTCCTTTTTCCTGATGTTGCAATCACTTGGTATTGCTACATCTACCACAACGGCTTTCCTCTGTTGTTTATCCACTACGACAATGTCTGGTTGGTTCGCCATTACCATTTTGTCTGTCTGGATCTGGAAGTCCCACAGGATCTTAGCTCTGGCGTTCTCCACCACCTTTGGGGGCGTTTCCCACTTTGATTTCGGGGTTTCCAGTCCATATTCTGCACAGATGTTTCTGTACACTATGCCTGCCACTTGGTTATGTCGTTCCATGTACGCTTTCCCTGCCAGTATCTTGCACCCTGCTGTGATGTGCTGGACTGTCTCAGGGGTCCTTGCACAACCTACACCTTGGGTCTTGTCTGGTGTGGTAGATCTGGGCCTCTATTGCTCTGGTGTTTAGGGCCTGTTCCTGGGCGGCCAGGATGAGGGCCTCTGTGCTGTCCTTGAGTCCAGCTTTTTCCAGCCATTGGTAGGATTTACTGATGTCAGCCACTTGGGTTATTTGCTGGTGGTACATCCCATGTAGGGGCTTGTCCTCCCATGATGGTATCTCTGGCACCTCAACCTCCATTCCCTGTTGTCTGAGACATTCACTGAGCACATTGTCTGTTGAGGCTTTGTCCCTGATGTATTTATGGATCTTAGTTGTTTCGTCCTGGACAGTGGTTCTCACACTCACTAGTCCTCTGCCTATGTCCTTGCGGCTCGTGTACAGTCTCAGGGTGCTGGATTTGGGATGGAACCCTCCATGCATGGTTAGTAGCTTTCTGGTCTTAATATCTGTATCTTTTATCTCCTCCTTTGGCCAGCTGATTATTCCAGCAGGGTATCTGATTGATCTATATATATATATACCAGTGACCATAATATAAGTTATTCTAACAGTGAGTCACATCCTGTCTGTGTTCAGGTGTCTGTGAACGCCTGATGTATTGCAATGCAGTGATAACAAATGCTTTCTGCTAGTGTTTACATGCAAACATAAGCTATTATTAATGCTAATGTATTCATGCCCAATTTTGCTGAGATGAATTCTACATCAAACTACAAGGTTTACCTTGCAGAAGAATCACTGTAGTTCCTCTGTTCCTCTGCCATGGCTGTCACATAATCCTTTGGATAAGTCTCAGTCAGCCCTCCTCTTTTGTGTTGAGGTTCTTTTCTGTAAATCTTCAAATGCTCTGATCAACAATCTTTTTAGCACCTCAGGAAGGAGCAGGCTGTGAACTAAGAGGTTGCACTTTGGTGTTTCTGTGAAGGTTGGAGAGTTTTTAATTCTGCTGAACATGTATATTTTTTACATGAGCCATTTTTTTTTTCTGCAGAAGTTATGATGTAACATTGAAACTATGAAAGTTTCGACTTAAACTGAATTTAATAAATTAGAGTTAGAAACTTTACATTTAAATGCAGAGTGTGGTATTTGTGACAACAGTTTGATTTAAGTTTTAACTTTTATTTATGATCTCCTCATATTTAAGTTCAATTTCAGTTTCTGTTTTGTCTTTGAAATTTTCAGGCTCATATTTTATGACTCAAGCTTTAGATAATGGAATTGATGGTATTTGTAGTGTGTTTATGTTATACCTTCTATTTATACCAAGCGATAATATAAAAGGCTTACAGATTCCATGACTCAAACTGAGCAGTTTTTTGTCTGAAATCTTATTTTTCTGCTTAAGCTTTGAGTTGAATGACACTACAGAACAGCAAGGTCAAATTATTCATTCTTCTTTACAAGAAACAGACAGATTTTATGCATCAGTGACACCACAGCGCCATATCTACTTTTAAAATTCAGACAATTTACTCACTGATGCTTTCTGGTGGACCTGTTATCCATATTCTTTGCAGTGGCTGACAGAAGTTGAATGCTGAATGCTGACTAAGATGGAATTTCAATTGTTCTTCTCTTTAAATTCTTTAGAATTTTTTTTTCTGCTAAAGCTTTATTTTTTTAATCACATTTGAGAGATTTGATGCATGTCATCATTGCAAAAGGGTCTATTTCTACTATGCATGCACTGCCTAGCTAAACTTTTCATACTCCTAGAATGTTTCTTAGATTTTTTCACTGTTATTTGACTCGATGGACCAAAACAACGTAGTGAATAGTTGTGAAGTTGAAGGTAAAGATAATTTTTAAATGCTTTTAACAGAAATTTTAAGTGACCAGCACTAGTACTGGACTCCTTTTATTCTGATACAACTAAATAAAATTAAATAAAACTAACTGCTTTCCAAAGTGACCAAATCAGCATTCTGTCATCCCAAAATAGAAATACACTGGCTCAACTGCAATCAGGGATGCAAGTTAACAATAATTTTTAAAATCTAAAGTTACTTGAATTTATCTATCGATTAATGATTAAATAAGAAAACTTGAGTTTTTTCTTTTATCAAGATGGCTGATTGTCTTTTGATAACGTGAAGAGTTACATTTTTCATGATATGCATGATTAAAAAAAAAAAAAAGAAACGCATCAATGCATCGTAATTTCTTGGGTCAGCTGTATTCATGTGAAACTTAAAGAGCTTGTCAGATTTGCATTTTTAAGATGAAATACTAACAGCCAATTTGTAAAATCTTACATTTGTATTAGTCACTGTGCATCAAAAACACGCAAATTTTTCTTGTCCAAATCAAAACACATGGAGTTACTTTTAATAAAGTCAAGTCAGGCTTTGAGGCACATTCCCTGTGATTCATGATGTCGACCTCATCAGGCGATATCAGTGACCAAGCCGACCTCTGACAGTACAGGCTGAGGCAACCTTCTTAATAGCAGCGCTACTCTTTAAGTCAGAAGATATTTCCATCATGTGCGTAATGAGAGAAACAGCTGAGATAATGCAGCAGGATTTCTTGTTCCCTTTGTGTGTTCTCACAGTCAGACAGCTTGATGTGTGTGTTCTCGTCTAGAAGGATTTATGAGCCGCAATTTAATTGGAGGAATTAACGGACATTTAGACTCTTAATATCCATCAAATTAATCTGTGTTTCCTCTGTTTTCTCTTTCAGGACATCCAGCATGGCCTCCTGGAATAACCCCTTCTCTTAGGGAGAACAACCCAGAAGTTGGCGTTCCTTTCAAAAATTGATCAGAGTCTGGGAAATAATGTAAATGTTCCTTGGCTTTGGACCATGAACCTTAGAGGATCCCCTGGGAAGATCATTTCTGTAGTTTGGATTTAACTGTCATTTTCTCTGAACCACGGCAGCGGTGGCTGTTGGAGGCGGCTGCTGCGGCAGTGGTGGGAGGACCTCGCCGCCTCGGAGTAAAGGAATACAGTTACACAGCGCCGCGCCACCATGAGGATAACCACCACCTCTTGCCTCTGTCCCTTCTTGGTTTGCCTCTGCTTCATCCAGAGGTGCTCTGGGGCAGGCCATCACGTCCCTACCAAAGTGCCCTCCAAGAACCAGACCAAACTGGCCAATGGGGAGACAGAGGTGCACCACAGACCCAAGCGTGGCTGGATCTGGAACCAATTCTTTGTTTTAGAAGAACACATAGGACCGGATGCGCAGTATGTGGGAAAGGTAGGAGTTTCACTGAACAGATTCGGAGTGTAAAAATGAATTATTTCCATCTCATGGAGCCTGCATTTTGAACAGCTTATTTGGCATTTTTCTCGCTCCTCTTGTTTATTGAGAAATGGGTTACAAACAGAACAAGCTGTTCTGTTGTTGTAGATTATCACGTCAGCATTATGCAAGCTTTTGTTGTCTTGTGATTTGGGTGTTATGTATGAGCGTTATTTTTTTTTGAAGATATTTCTTGTAGTTTAATGGTTCTTTTCTGAAAATGTTCAGAAAATGTTTTATTTTGAGTTCTTAAGAAGCACATCCTGGTGTGTCTGTCACTTTGCAAATCGAGCCATTCAAAATGCATTAATTCTGAAAATGATCGTCCTTATCAAGCCAGTTTTCATTTGCTCTGTTGAGGGAAAGAAACTAAGATTAAACCATGAAACCAAAGTTACTTCTCTCACAATGCTTTCTGTTGTTAAAACCACAAACGTCAATATACTGTATATGAATTTATGTGACTGACCAACAAACTAATTAGAAGAAAAAACATTAGTGGTATTAGTCAGATTGGATGAAGAGGATTTGGTTTTGATAAAGATCAGCTTTAAAATCTTGTCTTAGACTCCAAACTGGACTGAGATCTGATCTTAGACTCAGATCCAATCTGAAAACCTGGGATGAACCTGCACACGGCTTTGGTATTTAAAAAAAAAAAAAAGCATTCAGTGGAGACTTCTAGACTTAACAGGATGTAGAAGTTTGTTAGCTGTTGGCTATGACTTGGCCAGCTTTGCTGTTTTGATGACATAAAGTGGTAGGAGGATGACGGCACAGCAAGTTGATCAAACATGAACCTTTTCATGTGTGATTTCAGTTGTGATTCTACTTTTAACAGAAAAATACTTTTGCAAGGCACTGCTTAGACCTTCAGAGCCATTTCTAGAGTGACTTATACTCCTTTGGGTCCAAAAAATATGAGTACTGAGACGGCTTCCTGCTGGTGCATGGTACATTGAAGACCAGTTATTGGCTGTTGGTGGTGACTTTTCTGTTAGCTTCACAATAAGCCACAGGGAGCCGGGTAAATCCTCTACTTGCAGATTGCCTACCCCTTATCTCCTGGAATGTGAAAATGTGGTTCTCTGCTGCAGTGATCATTATTCTAGGCACTCAGGCACAGACTAATCCTCAACTGCACTCACAGAAAAAAGAATGAGAAGCGCTCAACGCTTCTCTGGCTACACATATGTCTGTATTTCAACTATCATTTGATAGCAAAAAAGAGAGGGATAGAAGTGGAGAAGGAGACGATGATACGCTTGGACATGGGTCCTGGAAAAGAACAGCAGACATCACTTTGCGCTTCAGATGTGTGCTTATTGAATCAACCTGGGGATTTAATCGCATATCGCCTCGTCGGGCTGACAGAGAAATGTTGTTTACTGTTGAAACATGGATAATCTGCCAGTCTTTGATGCAAAAATGAGCCATGAAATCTTCCACGTCAAAAAACAACCGAGCAGGCATTGTGTCCTCGGTGAAAGCAACAACGAGGATGTTCGCAGCATATTCAAAGTGCCAGCTTAGCGGTGCCCTGACTGCATAAATATGCAATTATTTATACATTAAATTGTTGGGCTGCTTTGAACTTCATTATGTCAGCTTTGCTGGTTGTTTTGTGCTGGTGCTGCAAACTACCTCTAGGGTTCTGTTGTTTCAAGTGTGTTATGTGTGTGCGATGGGTGCTGCTGATGAAAGCAAAATAAACATAAACAGCTAAGCCTGGATGATAACAAAGCGGTGAAAAGAAATATAAACATTATTAGGAAATCAATTTGACATGCATGTTTAAAGAGATGAGGTCTCCAGATGGCAAGCACAAAGAAACATTTAATTATGTGGGTTGAGATGGGTGTGCAGTGTCCTAATGTGTCCAGGAGACAGAATGACCCTTAATTAGATGAAAATACCAGAGAGGCAGGAGGAGGAGGATTAATACACTCTGTATGGCCCACACTGTATTTTTTTCTTTCTTCGGCGTCTCTTTGCTTGATTAAAAACTCTGGACATTAGCGAGAGGCAAATGAACGGCTCGACTGCACGGAAATCGCAAGCAGCCCCTTTCACGATAATTGGTTCATCAAAAGTTGGAAAGTATAGGAGAAACTTCGTGATGAGAGGTAAAATGTGGATAAGAAATTAAAGAGGTGATGAGGCATAAAGTGAAAACAATCACAATATAATGTATAAAATGGAAATTGGAAATAGAAGGCACATCGGGATAGATAATTATATGTAAAGTTGTGTGAAAAGCCCAGAGATATGGAATAATCTTCTTTTGCAACATAATCTCACTCTGAAACATTTAGAAAAAAAACAAACTTTATTTTAAATACAGTTATCCAGTGCCAGTGTTATCAAATACCCCAGCTTTATTGTCACACTTTTTATTTAAATGGAGTATATTAAATAGATCTGCCTGATAAATAAACACATCATTACAGTGACACAATGAACCCAATATAAAAAAAACTTGTTTTTAAGTTCTGTTGTGTTCAGTTCTATCTTATTATTTAAAAATTACAGGTTTAATATTTGACTTAAAATGGTTGTTGAAAATATTGATTTTAATGTTTTGACTCAGTGAGTGGCATGAGAGGCCATGACGTGTAATGAGACAGAAATATAAACTTTTGCATCATCAGCACCAATGTACCAAAACCTCATAATCAGAACAAGAGCAAGGATATTGACATTTGTTGTGGGTTAAAGCCAAAGATCATTTGCCTTTCCAATAATCTTTGGCAAAAATGTTATGTAAGATTTGATAATGACTTATTAGTGAAGCATTAGGTTTTATTTTTGCATTTTTCAAGTTACATGGGAACTGATCTGTGTCAAGAGAAGGATTTACTACTTGCAATATTTTTAGGTACAACACAGCATGTCGATAAAAACTAAGAGCAGTTTAAGATAATTGGTAACCACATGATTTGGCTTTTTGCTAGTTAGTAGAAGGTATTAGCAGTTTTTCTTTACCCTCCCTTAAGATCCTCCGTATTAGATATGGTCATTGGTCCTTAATGATCCTTTTTTGTGACAGTTCCAGTTGATTTCACCATCCTTGCTGTAGATATGGTCACATTTAGGCAAATACCTATTGTCACCATTTCAGTCTATCACAACATTTGCTGTCCTTGTGTGTGATGCTCTCTTCTCTTTCCTGCTTTGAAGAGTGGATAAAAGCTTGCCTTTGTGTCGCATCCTATTTACTTGCACGAAAAGGGCTTTTCCCGATACTTTCCCACAAACAAAAATACAAATAAAGTTTTGGACCAAGTGAAGCGGCCAGTCTGTCAAGAACACTTTAATCCCCCTTAGGCTTCACCTAATCCCTTGTGACACCTTTCTGGTGGGCTGACGCTTTGGGGAAATGACAGCTTCATGCATGAGTGAGACGCAAATGCTCAGTAAAGGACAGGACTTGTCCAGATACCAGACAGCAGACAACCCATTCTCCCAACGGGAGGTATGAATGTCTCTGTGTCAATCAGCTCAGCGTGCTGCTTTGAAGTAGTCATAGAACAGATTGGATGGTAATTTTGGATGATGCAAATACCCATACCCTGGAAGACGGTGTGCTGCAGCGAAGCGTCTGCTGTGAACTAGCAGCAGTCAGATTTCTCTTCTCTTTGGAGAAGAGGAACGTTGGGCAGAAAACATAGAGATATCACTGGATATCCTTCTGCAACTGAACAAGACAGTAAGCGATATGATATATGACAGAATGGGTGCTTCGGTTCGGACATTGAGTAATACTCCCTGTCTTATGTTGTGTTCATTTGCATAACAAACCCGCACTTTTGAAGAAAGGTGCCTAAATGTTTTATTCACGCAACTGAAAATGGGTTGATCTGTGACAGAATCAGGCAACAGTGTTGTGTGTGTGTGTAGTAAGATCTCAACAATATGAAGAAAAAGTGCTTTTCTGAAAGAACTCACAATGCAAGCAACAAGTCCCTGCAAATTGGACTGTTTGGAAGTGAGACAAGTAGTAAGGAACAACTCACAACCTGAACCACAATCATTAACAGCATGGGTGGAATAGGAAAACATATCAAACATACCCAGAAACTTCTAAGACTTGAGACTGGAATTAAAATTTTGCAACGGGAAAGTTGAAATTAACAACTTTCTGCTGCAACAAATATTTGCTGCCTTAAATATTTGTTCTGTTTTTGCTTTTATTTTATTTTTTATCACGCTCATGTGCTTTAAGGTCATCACACACATTTTCATATCAAGCAAAGGTAACCTGATTACAGTGATGCATAATCTGTAAACGCTTATCACTTCCTATTTTAATAGTTTTACACACCAGATATATCTTGATATGCATTAATACACACATCTTAGCATTACTGCAGAAACTAATATCTATTGCCTTCCATATTTCTCCTCTTGAGGTACAACCAGTCAGCACCAGAGAAAATAAATGGCAGTTCTGGATGGACTGCTTCGCAAACGTCAAGTAGCATTTTGCCTTGGTATTTTAGCTTCCCAAGATGCATTTTTTTTGTTTCTTTGAATCATTTTTATTTCCGTTGCACAGAGAAATGTGTGTATATGCAAATCTGTGAATATTGAACCACGAAAAGGTGGAGGTCCTCTGCATACATCTGAGGTCAGAGTTATTAGCCCGCCCAGATAAAATTGCATAATACTCTTCATATTTGTATGAAAATTACCATAAGAAAAACTGTTCATGCAAAGAAAAACCTGCATATGCTTTGATCAGCACGTTTTATTCATGTGCTGAATTGTAACAAGGAAACTGAACAATGGCAAAAGCAAAATTAAGATTTAAGTTCTTAAGTCTGCACAGGTATGAAAAATATACATTTCTAGTATAACAGTTACATTCTCTGAATTTTCCATTCGTTTGTCAACTCACCCATATTTATTTCACTTCACAGATTTTATCTGCATTTATTTTTATGGTACAATTT